CGGGGGGCAGGGCAGCGCTGGTGCCCTCCCAGCCGGCCTGGGCGGCTGTGCCTGCGAGCGGAGAGCGAGCCGCGGGCTGCGTCGAGCCTCCCGGAGAGCAGGGAGCCAGGAACTCGGCTCACAGAAGATGCAGCCTCTCTGCCGAGCTAGCGCCGATATCCCTGACACGGCCTTGTCACGTCTGAAGGCCGTTGCTCGACGTGCTGCCATGTCAGAGCTGTGCTGCGCTCTGCCCGGCTTCTCTCCTGCCCTCTCCTCCCCCTGCAAACGTCTCCTTGCCGGTCGCTACCAGCACCAGTGCCCCGTAGCCTCCGCTCCCTTTGGCGCCGTGCAAGGCCATTTCTCCGTCGCTTTTCCAGAGATGCTGTGCTCGAGCCTTCGGTGTAGCTGAGATTCTCGGGTAGACCTTGGTGGGCTGTTCTGTTGTTCGGCTCATGTGCTCTCTCCTGGTGCTGTAAACCAAGGGAGAATGAGACCAGCGATTCTCAACCGGGGTTCCCCAGCAGCGCGGGGTGCCACCGCGTCCCTTCCAGGGTGCAGTGGGGAGCTGCACCATATTAGCGCCGTTGTGGGTGCAGACACCTGCGCATGGCTCGCCAGACAAACCCAGAGGAATCCGGGGCGTCCAAACCATTCTGACCTGCCGGGGCTTTCTGAGCTCCTCGCAACGGAAGAATTGCTATATTCTTTTTTCCATCGTCAGAAATGACTGAAAGCCAAAAGCTGACGTATTCTCAGGGGGCCCTTGAGTCTAACAAGGGGGTCTTTGAGTCTGGAGGTAGAGAACCACCGCGCTAGACCGCTCGCCACTGTTACCGCTAAGCACAAGTCCAGCTGTTTCTGTGGGGATGCGCTAGCGGTTCCCCAACTCTGACAGACTGCACACCACCCGTTTACAACAATATGACCTTAAGTACCGCCAGCAGATTTTTGTCATATAAAGTAATTATAATAAATCTGTTAACGTGTGCCGCTGACAGGTTGTCTGTACCACTGGTGGTACCCATACCACAGATTGGGAACCGCTGTCTAGCACGTAATCCAGGAGATCCTTCCCCTTTGTCGTTCTTCTTCCCTCCTGTTGAACGTTAACAGCAGAACACAAGACCGCTCACTTCTCCCGCTTACTCATTTTTTGCTCCCTTGGGGTGCCTGAGGATTTGTTTTTTGGCAGAGCAGAGCACCCATTTCCCCACATGATGTCACTCCACACCTCTGGAAAAGCGGTCCCAAGAAGGGTCTCCGGAGTGGATGCTCTTTGACAGTGTTGGTATGCTACTGTATGCTGTAGTCTAGGAAGCTATGTAGGTATGCCCCTAGCTTTCGCATGGGCTTTCAGCCCAATGTCACTTGAGTTATATTACAACACTGATGCATTCAAGTTCAGGGGGTCTGTTCCTGCAGTTGGTTTAAGGAACTCAGTGGAGTTACATCCCTTAAAACCCTCTGAGGATCTGACCCAAAGAGTAAGAACGTCATACATTAAACTTAAATTCAATCCTGGATTGCCTGTTCCTTCCAACAGTGCTTCTATACATTTATATTTGGTAGCTGGTTAATTTAGTTAATTATCCCCAAGGTTTTCGTTTTGTTTTGGGGGAGGAGGGGTTGTCCCTAACTCATTAGAAGACTGCTGTTTTTTTCCATGAATACTTTCTTAATGGTATCTTGTTGTTGCTAACCAGTGGTGGTGGTGGATGGGGTGGGGGCCTTTCAAAGACCAAGAGGCAAGAGTTTTTATGGGTGATATCTCTGATTGGACCAGCTGCCTGGTTGAGCTGGACATGGATGAGCTTTCAGGTGCACTGCATTCTTCTTCAGTCACCTGCACTGCATTCAAAATCTTGCCTAAATCTATCCCAGCAATGCAGTTAGTTTAGTAAGAGGTCTTACCCACAACCATCCTTGCCTCTTGCTTATTTCCTGGACCATCCTGGTAACTGCATCCCTCCGACACAACTGATTCCAGAGAGCAGGGGTTTTTTACCATTTGGAATCAGCATCTGGCAGGAAACTGCATGTGCCTTAAAATATCTATATAATAGTTATTGTTTTCTATACATACCTAGACACACTTTTATATATTATATAAATAGATCAACATAAATGGTTTTATACACACACATATATTTCTATATTATAGAAATATACAATTAATTTATATATACACACTGGGGAACATCCACAGAATATTAAATTCACCCCATCCACTTACATTAAGAGCTGGATCCTCAGCTAGTGCAAATCGGCATCGCTCTGATGGAGCCAGCATAGCTAAAGATCTGCCTCTCCATGTGAACAGGCTGATCGGTGCTGAGCTGTCCAGATGCTCTGTATAGTTGACTAGAAACATTTCCAACAGAGCACAGCAAATTCTAGGCTTGTTTCCAAGTCTTGTTGCCTCTTTCTCTGATCTGGATTAATAGGGGGTATTGTTGTTACAGAGAGAAGATGTGTAGGGCTCTTCTGCCTTGTGCCTCTCCCCTCCACGTGCACGGGCAGCCTGTGGATGCTATTATGGGAGCCTTTTGCTAGACAAATGGGGATTCTTTATTGTTGCTGCAAGCAGGGTTGGGATTTTTTGCTCTTTAAAGGGACACTGTCAGCTTGAAAGTCCTCCCTTTCCCTTCTTGGATGTTTTACCTCTTTCTGTCACAAGTAACACCTAGGTTTGACTTGCTAATAGGTTGAAGGGAAAACAAATCTGTTGTTTAGTTGTGCATTTGGCAGCACCATATGTTTAGTTGTGCTTCTCCTGTTGCCGTAATGGTCCTTTCACACAGCGATGGGGGACGGAAACACGGTTAAAAATAGGGAGAAGCAATTGTGCAGCCACAGATGTGGTCCAGCTGGCTCGGAGCAGATGCCACATGTGCGACTGATTCTTAAAACAGGCGAGATTTAAGTTGACAGTGCCTGTGTGAGCTTGAATTGCCGCTCTGTGGTCCAGTCTTGTGTGATAGCCAGTAGTCTGGCTCTCTTACTGGAAACCATCATTGCAGGGAAGCAGGTGCATTTCCTTCCATCCTCATCGGGAAGTTTGTTATAAAAGAGGTAAGAGCATCCCAAAGAGTTCTCCGGCAGGTGGGGTGCTGCTACACATTCTGTAAATGAGCCATTAATTAAGCACGTCAGCTAACAGTGATAGAGGCGCTGACCATACATATTAAGGTGACTGGAGCAAGTAGAGGACAGTTTATAAAATGCACTGACAAAAGTCCCTTCAATGTGTGTGTGCTGCCTCCTTTGTATAGAGATGAACGTGGAAACAAAAGTCTCTCTTTTGTCGTCCCTGGAATTGCCCTCTGACCTAGCGATGTGTCTCCGCTGTTACTTGGACGACTGTCCTCTTCTCTAGAGGTGAAATTATCTTGAGCTTACATGCCGTGGATCACAGTTTCTGCTCTTGGTTCAGTGAGAAGCTTCATTTGAAGATTATGAAAATACTAGGTTTTATATCTGATATTGAGGATCTTCCTACAATATTTCACATTATACATTATGCTTATTTATGCAGGTGGGTTAAGCTAGGGGAGGGGAGCTGTGCATTGAAAATTGGGAGCGCAGAATCCTTAAGCGTTTTTTCAGATCATATTGGGCTGAGAGGCTGTCATTGGCTTTGAGAGCTTGATGCCGAGCCCTGACTTCTGTGGGCTTTGGTTCTGGCTCTGAAGCAGAGATTAAAATCGCCGACTCAGAAACATAACGCTATAATCGGGATTAAAATGTGGAATCCAGATCCTGCAGTCCTCGTGAGCTCAGCTCCCGGGGCTGCAACACTCTGTCTGCATGACATGGCTGCATGATCTGACTTGAGCTCTTGCTACTGCCCAGAGCACAGTAGGTTTGTCCCTGCAGGGACCAGTGGGCAGCTGTGTGGAGTACCCAGCTCAGGGGAAGTTTAGACTGGACTTTAGCACTCGAGAGAACTGAGCATCCTCCACTGGCCTTGCAAAGCC